AGATGTTGGTAGGATTTACACAGAGGACATGCTTGAAGAACCTGCTTGGCATTTGGAGATGATGGAGTGATTTGCCATCACTCCTAAGGGGATTAATTTCGTGGTCCCAGGCCAGCACCCACACACATGAAGCTCACCCTTAAGGTGAAGGGCACAGCTGAGACCATAAATGAAAAACTGCTGCTGTTTTCTCAGTACCTTAGTGCCAAATTCTGCCTCAAACACTAAGGAGATTACCCAGAGTGTAACTCCACTTAGCTGTCAGTGTGGCTACCACTAATTCTAATCAGTCAAGGCTCCTTATTTCCCTGGGTACAGCAGTTTGGGCTGGGAAAGGACTGTCATGAAGAATTACAGAGACAGACTGACACAGCTCTTTAAATTAACAAGCAAGGAAAAAAGCATGAAGCTCTTCTCCCAGCTCAGGAAATCAGAGCAATTATACTCTGAAGTCATGAAGCTCAAATATTAACCTTCTCAGGTCACTGGGAGGAGGAACACCCCTTCCATTAGAGGCATCAAGCTCTAATTCTTCCACAGCAGGGCTTATACTTCCACAAGAGGAGGGGCTGGCCACAGCAATTCTCATTCTTGAGAAGGAACTGCCTGGTCTGCAGTTCTCAGGAGAGGGGAATATTTTTCCCTTCACCACAGGCAATGAGATCTTGGATTCCTTTCTCATTTTCTTGACCAAGAGTATCTCCATAAACCTGTGACACACCACAAGAATCACGGCAAGAAGGGCTTTGGGCACCCAGATTTCAGTCCCCTCCTGCTTTTTTGACTCTGTTTAGAAGCTGTGGGTTGTTACTAGGGAACAGAAGTCTACAAAAATGTGGTTTGGCAGTTGTGGCAGTGAGATTTGTTGTCTTTTTGATCCCAAGTACTGACACTGCTATGGTAAATCCCTTTCCTGTATCATTTAGTCTTCAGTTTCCTAGAGACCAGATCTTCTGATTCACAGCAAGGTGGTTTTTAGAGATGACTGCCCCATAAATTCAACAAATAGAGTGTGTGCCCATGTCTCAGTCCAGGTTAGTATCTTAAACCAATACCCACCATGCTTCAAGGTAAGGTGATTATTAGTGAGCTGCAGCAGCTCAAGAATGAGCACTTCACTTCTTTCATTCTGATTATGCCTTTGCTATTCCTGCAGACAGATGGGGAGAGGGAGAAATTCCCAAATATCCCTCCTCTACCTAGCAGGAACTTACAGAGCCTGTCAGAGACCTTGTGAGCTGCCAAAGTGCCTTCAGAGAAGTTTGTGACATCTCAGTGAAGATCAGCAGAGTGGGACTGTCCTCTAACACAGGCATCTATTGCAGCAGGAGCACTGAAGGGAGCTCACCTGTGGCAGTTTACAGAGCAGACTCAGAGCAATTGCTCCAGAGCCACAGCCAATTTCCAGGATCACAGGATGAGGAACAGGAACTGGGAAACAGAGGGCGGAATTCTCACATTTCTGAAGTTCTTCCTCCACAACTAGAGAGACAAGGTCCTAAGAAAACAAACAAACAAAATTGCTAAGGGAACTGTTTTGACTCACACCTTTGTGATCTGAAGACTGAAGTTTAAATTTCTTGACTCTGTACCCAATGTATTTTTGTTGCTAATTTTAAAAACACAGATGGTAGTAATGGAACTGACATGCCAGAAGTCACTTCAGCTCCATCTGCCCCACAGGGTGCTTTGATTAGTGACCAAATCCTCAGGATACAATCTCCCACAGATCCTCTGAAATCTTCTAGCACTGTTGGGAAAAACAATAACCAGACAGCTGGAGCACATTATCTTCTGCAACACCATTTACTCCAAGATTTTGGCTTTCAGAATTTGTAAGCTTCAAAACTCAAGATTGCTACACAGTCTCAATACAGTAGGTGACCAGGAGGCAGTTGCACAGCTCCTGATAGCATCTGAAGCAATCCAACCTGCAGATGAAAAGTCAAGGCAATGAGTTACTAAATGATCCAATGAGCAGCTCCCTGCACGGATTTCAGATTGTGGACTCCTACTATATTTTGTTGCTATAAAGTCACATGGAAAAGATTTTTATCCATGCCCCTGGATCTGTATGCAGTTTTGCCATGTCTGCCTCCTCCCTCACGTCAATCTTTTCTTTTTTAAATCCCTTTGGCATGTTATATAAAATCCAATACAGCAGGAGAGGTCTCAAAGATTTCTAAGGTTTGTGAAAATAAGATAAAACAGAAAGCACACATGTGCCTCCCTCTGACTGCAGCATGAACTTCCTTTGTTATTCACTGGAGAAAACTGTAAGATGGAAACCCTATGAACACTGAATGCATCAACAGCTCAGCAGTGCCCTCACCTCCCTCCCATCCTTGGGCTTCCAGGGCACAACAGCAGACACAGGCCTTCTGGCCTAGGTGTTCCCTAGGATTCTCTACTTGAGAGGGCTGCTCTTGGATCACTCCTGTAAATCCAGAAAGTTTAACAACATTTACAAAAAATAACTGGCATAAGCTGGAAAGTTTAAAAGGAACAAGTCCTGGCAGGAAGGTCAGCTTCTCTGTTAGTTTACAATGGCTTTTGTCAGGAGCCTGAACTGGACAGGCTTGTGCATAAGGACAGAAGCCTCTCCTTGGATCTCTCATCCTTACTGGGGTGCAGAAAAAGAGATGCCTTGTGCAAAGCTGCAGTACCTCTGAAGAGATTCACACATCCTTCAGGACAGGCCACTCCACATGTGCAGTAAGTGAGAAGGGAGATGCAAACAGGTACAAAAATGAAGCATTCAGGTAGATGAGCTTTGTTGAACCATCCCTGGAGCAGGCAAGTTTGGGGACCGATATCTGAATATATTCAGCCAGGTATGAGGAGCCACATGCCCTGCCCTGGTCACCATGTCATTACTGGCATTGCCCTCATATGGGAGTTTTTCCAAGAGCCTCCAAAATCCCAAATTCCTCACTGCTGCTCTGGGATTCCTTCCCTAGACAATTATGGATGAAAACAGTCTCACAGGCTCCCAAGCTGGAGGAAACTATTACAGGACTCAGACAGCAAAAGGGAAAAATAAACACCTGAGCTCCCCACTTATGAGAAGAGGCTTTGGCCATTCAAACAGCTCCAGATGAATCAGCCTGAAAAGACTCAGGCACTGCAGACAGCCAGAGACTGCAGCCACAGCTTCCTTTGGCAGAGCAGGTGGGGTGCTGAGGATTCCAAGACCACAGAAGAAAAGGCACACAAAAAATTCCGCTTGGCTATTAAATCACTTCTTTAAATACCAGCCATTTCTGGACACTTACAAACATTTCCTGGAAATCTCCACAGTAACTCAGAACCATCTGTTCCCAGAGTAGCACAAGTTACTGATTACAAATGTCCAAATATGACTTCCATACACTAGGACTATTCTAACCATTTATTAACTTCCTTAAGGTTTCTCATTAGTAATTTCAAGCTTGATGGGTTTGAATGGAATGCCTACTTTACACATTCCTCAGTGAAAGCATTTTAGTGTGCTTGCCAAAGCTTCCATTTAAACATGACTGATTTCAGGTTTTACCACATAAAATACAAATAAAATGAGACATTGATATTACTTAGGCTTTGAGTTCTGCTTTCTGACTGCCTTACCTCATTGTCTTGGTTATTTCTTTTCAGTTCTTACTGAGGCAAAGGCTGGTTTTCTCATAATACACATTTACTATAATAGTGCAAAAGTAAAAGACATAAAAAATAATGGGACAACCTAAAGGAATGGCATCATTTTCCAGACATTAGTACCTCACTACAATAAAAGGCTGAATAATTATTTTCAACCTGATTGACTAGCAAAGAAGATGTATTCTAACTGGCAATCAGGAAAATCCAGCAATCATGACACAGAGTATGTCCAGTCATCCCACTCCCATTGCCACTAGGTTTCAGGAATGATTAAATTATCAAAAATTGCTTTGAAACCATATTCATCATTCTTCTCAGTATTTTTCACCTTTTAGCAAATGATCCAGCCAAAATCTGAACTTCTCCAATCACACCATCACCTCCAAAATATCACCACTGGAAATTGATAAATTACAGCACTTTGCAGAACACAGCAGAGCCCCTTTCAAGTCTCATCTTGGGAGATGAAGTATTTCTGGCTGAGTATTACAGTGTTCATACAAAGACTACAAAATAGACAAGTCAGACATTCCCAGCCTTTGCACAAGAATCCTACTGGAACCACAGTGAGAGAAAAGCAACAAAGAGGCTGATGGTGCTAAAAAGAGGTGCCTGGGAGTGGCACAGAGAAACTGGGACTGGGACAATGGCAACTGGCCAAAGGCTGGGATCTTGACTGAGTAGGATACCTCATGTCTTCTCAGACTGAACAGATTCAGAGCACAAACACCTGCTAATGCAATGCCAACATTACCAAAAAGCCATTTTAACCATCAGTTTCATCACCAGCTTTGAAGGCTGAGATATGAAGTTAGAGAAATTCCAGTGGGAAATAAACAAAACCACTTTGTGACCCAATTCCATATTTGCTCACAGCATGCTAATCACTGGATAGAATGAACTCTCAAATGTGGAGTTATTAACATTCAAATTATTGCTTACAGTGAGTCATTATTGTCAGTTACAACCCAACCTACAACAAAAAAAATTCTGCTAACCAGTACTACAGATACTGCAGAACTACTTTCATCCTGGAGCCTGGTATCAGACACGTGGGTATCAGTGTCATAATTGTGTCAGAATGGGGAAATGAACATTTTGGAGAATTTTTCTCCTCTAGTCTTTGCAAGAAGCTCCTTCCTGCAGCAAAAGTCAGTTTTGGAAGGAGTGAAGGGACTGAATGGCAAACAGACAGAACCAGAAAGAACCTAAAATCCTCTGCCTGCTTTTGCTAGCAATGGCAGCAAGGTGAAAGGGAAGGAAGGTCCCCTAAATGGTTTGGGCAGCCCCATGATGGACCTGGTGACACCTGCACATTTCATTCCATACACAGGTGAGCAGAGTTGTTGAAACAGCCAGGAGAAAGAGACAGAAGTCACATGGAAAAGTGGATTCAGTAGCTCCTTGAACCTTTTCCTTGAAGCAAATCTTATCTATGTGGCCATAAACTAAAACACAAGAAGTTTCAGCTCAACATGAGGAAAATCTTTACATTGATGGTGACAGAGCACTGGAACAGCTGCCCAGGGAAGGCACAAAGTCTCCCCTTTGGAGATGCTCCAACCCCACCTGGACACATTCCTGTGTCACCTGCAGCAGGTGACCCTGCCTTGGCAGGGGGATTGGGCTGGATGATCTGCAGAGGTTCCTTCCAACCCCAATTGTTCTGTCATTCTGTGATTACCCTGTGCTTACATGTACAGGGGACACAAATATTTGCTTCTCATGCTACCTAACTTCCAGCACTCAAGAGGCTCTCAAGTTTTTGTCCCTTAGCCAAACCACTCAGATGCTGTTCTCACCTTGTGGTTCCAGGAAATCTTGCTTCACTGCCAGATTCACCCTAAGTTCAAACTGTCCTTTATTTGGGCTCCACCCCCCACCTTCTCTTTGAGTGCAACAAATGCAAAACTTTGTGAACACCTCCAGCTTCCCCTGAGCCTCTGCCTCACCCTTCCACCCACAAGTGTGGTTCCCCAAGGCCCCCAGCACCCTCTCTGCTCTCACAGGCTCTTGGTGTCACCTCTGCCCTGCGGCCAGGGCTCTGGTTCACTGCATTTCTTGGAACTGCAGCTGCACAAAGCAGTGAGAGGCCAGGGCCTGCCAGCACCCAAAGCACAGAGGCTGCACAGCTGCAGCCCAGGCAGAACCAGCACAGGCTCAGCTGGGTTCCAGCCCTGAGACAGTCAGGAGGAGGCAGCAGAGGCTCCTGGGCTCAAGGCTGGCTGCAGAGCCGAGCACAGGGACAGAGCTGAGGGGATCCTCTGCTCCAGCCCAGCACCTGGGAAGGGCCATCAGATGTTTTTGCCATCAAAAAGGACAAACTAAATAAAACAAGAGGAAGTGAGGAACGGGAAAGGCAAGGGTGGAAGTCACAAACTGCTACTGCATTCCCTACAAACACCCTTTTTCCGTGCCCCAGGGGAAAGCAGGAAAGCCAAAGTTCCAGGGGTAAGAGCCAGGGTGGCAGGAGACTCTAAATTCCCTGGTCACTAAACTGAAGAAGGAAAGAAAAAAAACCCCAGGAAAACCCTGATAACCTTCTCTCTGTTCTCTCTCACTTCCTGGGAATGTTTCACTTATCTGTGTGCTTTCCAGAAACTTCTATTCTCAGAATCCAGGACTTTCCATAGAACCTGATCTGATATTAACCCAATCACCTCTCCCATCTTGTTTGCCCACTTGGCTCCCAATCAGCACATGACAAACACCAGGAAGCCAAGCTGGAAACCCAACTCCATGGCAATGGCCCTAGCAAAGCCCTGCCAGTGTCCCACTTCCAAAACCAAGCCATCAAACCAGCCCACTGCTTCATGGCAGGCAGGGCTTTTGTCCTGGGCTCTTCTGCCTGGCACTTTAGCA